ACTTACTTACTTACTTACTTACTTACTTACTTACTTACTTACTTACTTATGGTACTTACTTACTTACTTACTTACTTACTTACTTACTTACTTACTTACTTACTTACTTACTTACTTACTTACTTATGCCTTATATACCTGGAAAAAGGTAATCCAGGATGTGTCTCATTTATTTTCATATTCAGTGGGTTTCCTTATTGTTGTCTGTCACAGACAATGACAACCAGCATTTCCTTCTTCTAGGTTGGATTTTTTTTTTGTATTTGTGTATTTATTTATTTATTATTTATTTATTTTTTCCATTTATACCCCGCCTATCTGGTCATTAGCCAAAGGTCACAGGAAGTCTTACCCAGAGATGCCACGTTTGTGTGATTCTCCTCCATAACTTCCTCGTGGAGAACTCTCTGGGCCGGATCTAGCAACAGCCATTCCTCCTCCGTGAAATGGACAGTTACCTCCTCGAAGGTCACTGGCACCTGAAACAAGAGGGAATGTTATGTTGAAGAAGATGGTTTAAAAATCAAGTAAAAACTTCGTTCAGACCCTGCTAGGCCTCAAGCCCTCTTAGTAAGCGTTTAAAGCCCTCTCAATGGGCACCTCGGCCATGGAGGAGACACCATGCTTCCCTGCTTAATTCTTCAAAGAGAGCCAGCCCTACTCTTGGCCAGATTAAGGCAGCCGCCATAGCCCACAGAGGTTTTTATAGGTGAACTGCTGGATAGCTCAGTGGTTTAGGAATCTGGCTGCAGAGCCAAAAAGTGAGTTCAATTCCCCACTGGGCCTCCTTGACAGGGGCTGGACTTGATCATTCCAGAGGGTCCCTCCCAGCTCTGCAGCTCTCAATATGATGATGATTCAGTAGCATCCTTCAGTCTTGAGAGTCTATGGTAATGTGCTCTGTATGGAGGTCTTGAAACAGCGTCTAGTGTGGCTGAGGAGGCTGATTCAAGAGTGACCATCCCTTCCACACTGAAGACAAATACAATCTGTCCCCTGTCCTGCTCCCTGATTTTGCTGCTTTTGTGACTTCTTCTTTGCCTTGGCCTGCTGGACAAGGGTCTCTTCAAATTGGGAGAGGCCGTGATGCACCGCCTGCCTCCAGGCTGAACGCTCAGATGATGATTAAAAGGGCAAGAAATTGCTAATTATTTTCTTTGGGAAGAGGTCCTTGTGGGATGATCAGCCTCCTATTACCAACATGACTTAGGGACTGTTCACTTTGACGGGGGGGGGGAGTGGGGAGGAGGATGGTAAGCGGGGCTGAGACACAATCATCACCCTCATCATCGAACCGGAGGGGACCCTTTGGATCATGAAGTCCAGCTCCTGTCAAGGAGAAACAGTGGCGGGAATGGGACTCCCAACCTCTGGCTCCGCGGCCAGAGACCCAAACCACTGAGCTATCCAGCGTGCCACCTGCTGTTCCAACTCGGTAAAATCTCTTCACAGAATACTAGGATAATGGAGTTGGAAGGGGCCTGTAAGGCCATCTAGTCCAACCCCCTGGCTCAAGGCAGGAATCTAAACCGAGGTGTATCTGAACTGGTTTCTCATGTATCTGACAGATGGTTGCTTTTCTCTTGAAGGCCTCCAGCGCTGGAGTGTTTACCGGCCCTGTGTTCTTCTGCCAGCCTGGCCTCCCGTAATTCTTCCCCTTACCTGATCTAGGGTGGGCTCTGCAGTTATTTGTATCCTGGCCTGAAGAGGAGAAGGCTTAGAAGCAATCACGACAGCAGTTCCATTCCCTACAACAAAACCCGAAAAACACGGGTGGTAAGACATCACTTTTATAAAGCGTGCTTGCATTTCGACCCCTTAGGCCCAAATGTATCTCTGGATTATGTACTCCTTTGCCTATTTCTACCCCCACCTTTCCCTCAACAGCACTCAAAGTGCTTCGCGAAGTTTGTAAAATGAAACAAAACTTTATAAAATGATAAAATCAAGTAAAATCAGCTCCATCATTAAAAAAAAATCAAAATAAGCCAAATAACTTTATAAAATTATAAAATCAAGTAAAATCAGCTCCAGCGTTTAAAAAAAAATCAAAATAAGCCAAACGTATTCAAACTATTAAAATCAACCAACAGTACAGTTAAAAACAACAACTCGGTTAAGGTACATTAGACCTTATATGCCAGTGTAAAAAGATGTGTCTTTGCCCTTTAAAAAAAAACCAGTCAGATGGGAAACAGATTGTCCATTCCATATATATGGATATATACACACATAGGGGTACGAAATATATGGCAGATTTGTATATGCGTGTCTGTATGCCACATCAGCTTCCGGGTAAAGTGCGGAAAAGTCATCCAGATATTTTATTCGGGTGTAAGTAATTTGGAGAGAAGGCCTGCCAAATCATCCAAGTCTTTAATAGGTTCTTAAAGGTGCCCAGTGAGGGAGCTCCGCGAATGCCAGGAGGTAAGTTATTCCAAAGGCGAGGAGCCACCGCCGAGAAGGCCCTATTTCTTGTTTTCTCTTTTCGGGCCTCCCTCGGCGTTAAGCTCCTCAGCCTCACCTCCTGGCTATGTGTGTATATATAGGGATGTGTGTATATATAGGGATATATACACACATAGGGGTACAAAATATATGGCAGGTTTGTATATGTGTGTCTGTATGCCACATCAGCTCCCGGGTAAAGTGCGGAAGAGTCATCCAGATATTTTATTCGGGTGTGAACCTAACTGTAATTGTAAGGATGTGTCACTGGAGATCAAGACCAAAATCATCCAAACTCTTGTATTTCCAACCGCCATATATAGGTGTGAAAGCTGGCAGGAAAATCATAACAGCATAAATTTTCCCCACAGGATTCTTTTTAAATGTGGTGCTGAAGGAGAGCTTTGCAAGTACCCTGTTCTGCCAGAAAGACAAACAAGTGGGTCCTAGATCAAATCAAGCCTGAACTATCCCTGGAGGCAGTAATGTTGAAGCTGAGGCTGTCCTACATTGGGCACCTCACAAGAAGGCAGGGTTCTCTGGAAAAGACAATCATGCTGGAAAAAGTGGAAGGCAGCAGGAAAAGAGGAAGACCGAACAGAAGATGGACTGACTCTCTAAAGGAAGCCATAGGCTTGAGTTTGCAAGAGCTGAGCAGAACAATTGGGGAACAAGACGCTCTGGAGATGGGTCATTGAGAAGGTCGTCATAAATGAGGGCAACTTGATGGCACATAACAATGTACATCATTGAGAAGGTCGTCATAAATGAGGGCACCTTGATGGCACATAACAAGAACTGTACACATCTCATGCCACAACTTCATCCTGATGGAAGTCATAATTTACAGTGCACCAGTTTGGAGAAGGCTGGGTCCAGCCATACCCACTGCTTAGCACTGAAAGAACAACAACCCTATTCCTTAAAATGTGTCAGTCAGGATTTCTGGGAGGTTTTAGTCCAAGAACACCTGGTTGATCCAAGACTGGGAACCACGGCTTTAAAGGAAATACAGGTTTAACAAGCAAATGAATAATCATAATCACACTCAAAACCAATCCTTACTCAGGGAGGTGGTGCCTTTGTCGCTCTCCTGAGTGACCCACCTTACGGGCTGCTTCTTCCGGCCCTCTGCTGAAGCCTTTAACAAACGGAAGAAATAAAATAATTCATAAAACGACACAAGAACAAGCACTGTCATTGTCATTCCCAAATTTTCAGGGCTGGATTCTGTTGGTTTACAATCCTGCAGGCTGCCTGTAGTTGTGACTGAGATGGACTTTTCTGGGCTGGGTTGAATCAATCAATCAATCAATCAATCAGTCAGTCAGTCAGTCTGTCTGTCTGTCTGTCTATCTATCTATCTATCTATCTATCTATCTATCTATCTATCTATCTATCTATCTATCTATCTATCTATCTATCTATCTATCTATCTATCTATCTATCTATCTATCTATCTATCTATCTATCTATCTATCTATCTATCTATCTATCTATCTATCTATCTATCTATCTATCTATCTATCTATCTATCTATCTATCTATCTATCTATCTATCTATCTATCTATCACTAATCAATAGTTCCTTCCAGTTTTTGAAATTCAAAGAGAGCCCCACTTCTCTGCTGAGGGCTCTTCTATCCCTCTCTTTCATCAGGTGATGGCAGGTTATTTGCTGTTGATATGTTTGGCTAAGCATGTGTGCCATAAAGAAAGACGCACACACAAGCATGTAATTTCAAGCAACTGGGTTTTTTTTTATTCTTCCTGATACAAATGATTCAGAGTGAGTTAATAAGAAAGGACGGGGTGGACTCTGGGGAACTTGTCGTTATACTCCTCCGTCGCTCTTTCAATCGCATAGCAAAAGGGACTTTTCTTCGGAAATTCAAAACTCTGCAACAGATTCAGCCATAAAGCTTGACATTCATTACTCCTGTTGTAGACCTCAGGCACTCTGGAAATTGCTGGTAATAATTTGTTTTGATTGATTGATTGATTGATTGATTGATTGATTGATTGATTGATTGATTGATTGATTGATTGATTGATTGATTGATTCCATTCATTCATTCATTCATTCATTCATTCAATTTTTATACCACCCACCTGGCTACAAGGCCACTCTAGACCGTTCACAACACGATAAAACAACAAATAATACTTTAAATAAATCCACAACATAATAACAATACAAAATCAAATTAAACATATGCGTCAATTTAAACTAAGAAAGTAGCTTTCCCTCCGATGGCCCAAGCTCCTGCAGCCCACAAAACGGTACCCAAATAAAATATGTGAAGCGTTTAAGGTGTCCTAAGACTCTCTCTGGTGGGCACGCAGAATGGTGTAGGGGAGGCAGCGACAGATGAGGACTCAGAAGGCCTAGGTTCGAATCCTCACTCAGCCACGGAAACTCCCTGGGGGTGTGGAAGTCCTAGGCGGGTCACCCGAAGTGGTTTCCATCTTGATGGCACATAACACGCGCACACAAAGGCTCTTGATTTCTTTCGTGACAACCAATTAGCCCAACAAGATTGCAAGTGGGCTTCTCCCCTCTCCCTGACCCACACCTTCAAGATAGCAAGGGTAGATAGAGATCGCTGGCCTCTTTAGATGACACCCGCCACCCACACACACACATCACAAAAGAAGGGCTAGCGGGTGAGATCCTGAGTCTGCGGTTCTACATATTCTATCTAAGCCACTCAGAGCTATCACGGCGACGCACACCCACCTGCAGGTGCGCCTTCTTCTTATCCTCTGCCTGGCTGAGGAGGAAGCCCTCGGCCAGGGCCACCGCCTGGGAGCATGTCTCGGGCCCACATCCTCGGACCCAGTTCTCCATCTCTGGGGGCAGGATGGTCAAGAACTGCTCCAGGATCACCAAGTCCAGGATCTGAGTTTTCGAGCATCTCTCCGGTTTCAGCCATTGACGGCAAAGGCTGTGGAGTCGGCTGCAGGCTTCCCGGGGGCCCTTCGCCTCCTGGTAGAGGAAACATCGGAAATGCTGGCACAGCGCAGCCGAACTGAGGTTCTCCTCGTCCGCCATCTTGAGCGTCGTTCGCCTCCAGGATCTGGCCGGGCCTCGGGCCTTTACGGCCCCGGGGACGTCTCCTGCCCCGATCCTGACAGGGCCTGAGACAGCCATTTCAACGTCGAGCTTACGCTTGGGCTTCGGCAGGAGTCACAGAAGCACCCGCTTCTCAAAATATGCAAGTCTCGGTTGTGCCCTTAAAAGGCTGCTGTAATCTGCAGACAGGGAGATATTTCACAAGGAGGAAAAAAAAAACCCTCAAAAACTCAAACCAGATTTTCTGCTGCAGGAGAAAATCTCAGAAGGATGGAGATTGCAAACCTTGAAATCCAGATCCATGCCCCTCCTCGCCCAGCTTTCTAGCTTCCCAATTGTCTTTCTGAGGCAGAGCTCTGCAACTCAAAAGCTCACACATTCCAGCAGTGCTACTTATTTTACTGACTTTCTTCACTTGTTTCCTACAGATGACCAACGAAAAGCACACACCATGTCATGAGCCATTTATCCACCCTTCCTCACTCGGGTACCTGTCCAGTGTGTTGGGATTACAGATCCCATCACGTTCTAGTGAGCTCGGAGGCCATATGGTGGCGGGGGGGGTCATAGCTGGCAGGGTGGGATCAAATCTGGGAATCTGCCCAGTCCGATGCCAGGCTGTTGGGTCTTCATAGGGAATAATTTGTCAGCAGTGGGTGTGGGCATATGGGCATGCAGGACACAGGAAAGAGGGATCTCCTCCTTGTGGCTCAAGCTGCATAATAGTGAGTCTGCAAGCATGATCACCAGCTTAGGAGATCTACTGCAGATCTCCAGGAAATGGGGTGGGTGTACCCAAAGGATCCCCCCCCCAAGTCCTTGCCAACTCAGGTGGGCAGACCACATGGCACAAGGGCATCCCCCGTTTTCAGCCGGATCGCCTCCAAGGGACTTCCCGCCTCTCCACTCTATCCGGTGGGGCTAGTGCCCCATACCTTCCCACCCCCAGGAAATTTTGAAAAAACCCTCTTGCGAACTACAGCCCCCAGAATCCCCCACCCAGCAGCCACCCACCCACCCAGGTATCCAAGCCAGTGCGCACCAGCTGCGCTCC